TAAAGTTAACACCCACACTTTTGAAATACCAGAATTTGATATTACAAGTAGTGGATAAAGAATATAAATACATGGCAGGTACACATGATAAAAATCAAAAAATCAGAAGAAAATTAAGATCATTAACTAAAAATGTCAACCTCAGGAACAGGAAATAATAACAAAAATAACAAAACTGAATCACCAGCAATAAATGTGAAAGGAATCTTTAAAGAAGAAGAAGCATTTTTGAAATTAAACGATAAGCAAAAAATAAATGAATTAGTAAGAGTAGCAAACATATTTAAACAAAAAACAATAGAATTAGAACAACATGTTAAAGAAGAAAAAGATAAAAGACTTAAAAGTGAAAATGTAGAAAAACAACTCATGACAATAATTACAAACAATTATAAAAGGATTAAAGATTTCTTTAGGGAACCAATTAGAGAAAATACAAAAATAAGTGATGAATTACCAAAAGAAATAGAAAAATTGATAATCACAATAGGAAAAATAGAAAAAGATAATATATCAACAGAAGGATTGTATAACCAACAAAGAAACTTATATACTGAATCAGAAAGAAAGGTTGAAGATCTAGAGGAACGAATAAAATTATTAGAAAAAAATCACAGTGGAGCTAAGGAATACATAAAGGATCAAACAAGAAAAATACAGGAATTACATGAAGAGAATAGAGAATTAGAAAAAAGATTAGAAAAATTAATAGAATTCAAAGAAGGAATTGATAAAGTAATACTTGATTTAGAAATTGATAAACAAATAGATAAAATTTGGAGAAATAGATTTGAAGAACATCAAAAATTAATACAAACTGAAGAACAACTTGAGGAAGAAATTAACAGGGAAGAACAGGTACAAGAAGACTAAAAAAGAAATGGAAATACAATTAGGGAAACAATATAGATTAGGACAAGATCTTAAAGAATTAATAGAATCTTTAAGATATTGGGAAAGTAAAGCTAGAAAAATTGGTTTAATAACACCAAAATTATTAGATAATGAAGAAGAATTACCATTGG